TGGAAGGAAAGCTCTGGCCAAGTTAGAAAGAAGGGGCAATTCAGTCTAGACCAGGGAAAGAACAAATAGATTTAAGGAGAAGGCAAATGGACCATTTTAACTAGAGCAGAAAATTTAAAAAGGAAGAAGCAAATAATTGAGGGCCTTGAATATCAAGCATTTTCTTTTTAAATATGTTTTTATTGATTTTTTTTTTTTTTGAAAGAGAGAGATAAGCATCGATGTGAGAAACATTGATGGGCTGCCTCCTGCACACCCCCTACTGGGGATGGAGCCCGACACCCGGGCATTAGCCCTGACCAGGAATCAAACTGGGACCTCTCAATCCATGTGAGAATGCTCAATCCACTGAGCCACACAGGCTGGGCATTGAATATCAAGCTTTGGCAAAGTGTGTATTGAGTTGCAGTTCCACTACTTACTTCCTGAACGACCCTGAACAAGTTATTTAACTTCTCCAAGACTCAGGCAATGAATGTAAACCACTTGGCAGAAGACCAGGTAAATAGGTGCTCTAAAAAGGATGCAGAATCCCAAAACAAAAATTTTAAATTAAAATTAAAAAATAGATGCTCAGGCCCTGGCCGGTTTGGCTCAGCGATTAGAGCGTCCGCCTGCGGTCCGGAGAGACCCGGGTTCGGTTCCCGCTAAGGGCATGTACCTCGGTTGCAGTTTGTCCCCGGCCCTGGTTGGTCGTGCGGGTGGCAGCCACTCGATGTGTCCCTTTCACATCGATGTTTCCCTCTCTCTCTCTTCCTCTCTCTCCCTCCCACTCTGTCTGTACAAAAAATGGAAAAGTGTCCTCGAATGAGGATAAAAAAAAAAAAATAGATGCTCAGTAAGTAGAAGCAATTATTACTACAATTACTGTAATTAACTTCAACATTAGCAAATGTATACAGATGTTTGAGCAGGAGAAAGAAGGGATCAAAGAGGTTCCTTAGGAGGATTCATCTCACCTTTACTAATTACCTCTCTCATAAATTAAAATACCAAGCTCTGTCACCTCTCCCCACTTCTTCACTCTGTAACTTCCTTCTTAGTAATCACCATGCCCAGGAGGAGCCCAAACCAGCAACTAAGGTTCTCTCGTGTTAGTGAAGGGATCCCAGCTGGTGAGCCCTGCCACTGTAAGGACAAACTAAACCGAATGAGGAATGGCCTCTGGGATGGAGAACCAGTGCCCTCCAATCCCATCCTCACAGCCACCTGCACCACCATAGATGTATATTCAGGTGCATCCTGAAGAGAATAAAGTAGGTGATATTTCTTTTTTTTTCTTTCTTTTTTTTTTTAATCCTCACCCGAGGATATTTTTCCATTTTTTGTACAGATAGAGTGGGAGGGAGGAGAGGAAGGGAGAGAGAGACAGAAACATCGACGTGAAGGGACACATCGAGTGGCTGCCACCCGCACGACCAACCAGGGCCAGGGACAAACTGCAACCGAAGTACGTGCCCTTAGCGGGAACCGAACCCGGGTCTCTCCGGACCGCAGGCCGACGCTCTAACCGCTGAGCCAAACTGGCCAGGGCTCTTTTTTTTTTTAATCCTCACCTGAGGACATTTTTGCTTTCATCTTCAGATAGAGCGGAGAAGGAGGAAGAGAGAGAGAGAAACATGGATGTGAGAGAGAGAGACACCCACTGGCTGCCACCCACATAACCCCCAACCGGGGCTGGGGACAAACTGCAACCGAGGTACATGCCCGTAGCGGAAACTGAACCCGGGTCTCTCCAGTCTGCAGGCCAATGCTCTAACCGCTGAGCCAGACCGGCCAGAGCAGTGATATTCCTTTTGATTTTGATTTTGATTTTTAAAGCATAGATATTTCCCCAAAAAAATCTAGAGAGAGGCTCAGGTTTTCAGACAGTTACCTTACTTTCTCAAAGCCCCTAAACACTTAACTAGGAGTTTGTGCTCCGGAGAGTTTCTGAGAAGCCCCTCTGTGCCTCACTCTCCTCATTTATAAAATGGGAGATAATAATGGTAACTATTTCATGAGGTTCTTGTGAGGATTAAATGAGTCAGTATGTGTAAAGGATCTTGAACATTGGCTGGCACATCTCTATAGGTGTTAGCTAAAAATTTTAAGAACTTTAATAGGCTTCGGTGCACCTCTGAGCTAGAAGTTTGGCTGATGTCTTATATTCATCCTACCAGTCAGAGGCACCCAGTTTCTCCACATACTCAGTAGTGATTGTATATGCTAACTTCATTTAGTTAGAAAATATACTGCAGATAAAGAATTTTAAATATATTTTTAAACATATTCCAGATAAAAGAATTTTAAATTAACTAGTAACTTTTTAAATAACAATACCACCTGCACACACTTGAAAACACGCATGTAGGAAACAAGTTTATTCAATCTATGATAATGTCTGGTGTCTATTCGGACTCATGAAACCCATGCAATCCACTCCAGGACCCTTTAGCCAAAAGTAGAGTTGAATAACTGTTCAGACCATCAGTTTCTTTATTAGCAAAATCAAGGCTTGGACAGAAATATTCAACAAAATAAAATTAAAATGCAACTGTCCTCACATTTGAGGATACAATGGTGGACAATGTTAGCTGCATGACCAGAGAACCGATCACTTTACTTCTCTCAACCTCGTTTATAAAAGGGTTATTAACCTCTCCTATCTTACAGGGTCTCCTAGAAAGCAAATGACAGCTAAGTGTGAATTAAAAGCTCATCTCAATGTGGATCAGAAGACTAAGGTGGGGGGGGTGCTTCAGAAAAGCCCCCCAATCCCATCCTCAAGTCCACTGCCACCACCATAGATGTATATTCAGGGTGCATCCTGAAGAGAATAAAGTAGGTGATGTTTCTTTTTATTTTTATTTTAAAGCATAGATATTTCCCTCCAAAATCAAGGGAGAGGCCCAGGTTTTCAGTTACCTTACTTTCTCAAAGCCCTTAAACACTTAACACTTTCCAGTGACCAATGCTCTCTATGTAGTGAATTCCAAAAGACATTACACTAAACTGGGAAAGGTACAGAGAAGACTACCATTGCCACCTCCCCTTTGGGGCAAAAAGAATCTTAACAGGGGCCTCCTCCCAGCTGTTGCCCTGAGATGACCAGGGACAGACTTGAGGAAGGAGCTCCAAAAACGTTTTCATTTTCACCATGTTTTCACATACATTTAATGAAAATGAACCACACCCATCCTTCCATAGAAGTGACTAAGGGGCGCGATAAGAAAATTCAAATATTAATGTGTTTAAGTGTCTGCTATGTGCCAGGCACTTAATAGCTCTGTTAAGAGCTTGAGAAAAACGGTAACAAATTTAAAACTACAAAAGAATAAACCTGATTTCTGACGGATGCTAAGAGGAAGATAAAACCGTGAAGGACCAGGACAGGAAAGGAGAGGTGCAGATTCCCGAGTGGATGACTTGAAAGTCTGAGAGGTGACTTTGAGACAGTATTAAACGAACACTATCTTTAATTAACCTAAGTCCAGAGCGTTCTAAATGCCGGGGTGGGGAGGTAGGGAGTGTGGAGAGATTGAGCAAAATAGAACTCGTGGACACGGACAACAGTGTAGTGATTTCAGAGCGAGGCGGTGGGGGGCGGGGGGGGGCGGATAAATGGTGATAGAAAATAAATTAAAATTTGGGGGAATAAAAAGAAAATTAAACGCAAAAATTATCCACAAAAAAATGAGAAATAATAGGGATTTCAAAGTCCCCAAGTGAGCAGTGGACACCAGAATCTATGAATTTCGGAACGGTTCGTGGTTTTAAATATTAATGTAGTCCATTCAGGGAAAGGCTGGGACCTTGCAGTTCAGACTCCGCTCAAAGTGCCCAGAGTCGCTGGTGTCCCCAGGAGGCCACATCGCAGGGCAGAGCTAGTGATCGGCAACAAAACAGCTATCAAATGTTCGGGAAAATTCTTCAGGGCTATGACACAGTGTTCGAGGAACCTGGGCTTAGTTGTGTACTGGGGTCCTTTCTTAATAGGAGATGGCTAAAGTCACTTCGTTTTAGAACACTGACGAAACACTAGGACACCAGTCTAGAGCCGGAGGATGGGAGGAGCCGATCCTAACCTAATTTAGAACTGACTCAGGAAAACAAGAGGGCAAACGGGGTTTTAAAGACGCGCCCAAGATTCTATGAGCAGTCACTCATAGGCCAGGAACTTAAAGCAAACGGTTTTAAAAAGCTACGTGACAGCCTAATGACCATTACTAGGGTAACTTTATTAAAAGAAAAGATAAACGAGAAAGAAAGTTAATGAACAGCTCTTTCTGGTGAATAAGTGGGTGGCTCTGAAAAGAGCCTTTGGAGTCAAGCAGCCAGCGACTCGTAGGATCGCCGCGACCCGGCAGGAACTCACTTGGAGCTGGTGTACTTGGTGACGGCCTTGGTGCCCTCGGACACGGCGTGCTTGGCCAGCTCGCCGGGCAGCAGCAGGCGCACGGCCGTCTGGATCTCCCGGGACGTGATGGTCGAGCGCTTGTTGTAATGCGCCAGGCGGGACGCTTCGCCGGCGATGCGCTCGAAGATGTCGTTGACGAAGGAGTTCATGATCCCCATGGCCTTGGAGGAGATGCCGGTGTCCGGATGCACCTGCTTGAGCACCTTGTACACGTAGATGGAATAGCTCTCTTTGCGACTGCGCTTGCGCTTTTTACCATCTTTTTTTTGGGCTTTGGTGACCGCCTTCTTCGAACCCTTCTTGGGCGCAGGAGCGGATTTTGCAGGTTCCGGCATTGCAGGACACACTACAAGGATTAGATAGGAAAAGAAATGAGATGATAGGCGGGCCTGATCCTTTTATAACCACCGTATGTAAATTAAGGCTCCAGAAGTGTTTGGTTTCCATTGGGCCGTGTAAGAACCTTGCGTTTCCAGGCCTAATTACGTAACACCACCAACTCTAGACCTTATTGGTTATTTCTGGAGCCAGGTTAGGACCAATGAAAAATGCGTTTCTGACCCCACCCCTAGGAAAGCTTATAAAGGCTTTCTAATTGCTGATCTTTTAATCCTGTTGTACTGCGAGATTCTAAACTTTAGGGGTTTTAACCTTATTTCTGATCATGTCCGGTCGTGGAAAGCAGGGAGGCAAGGCTCGCGCCAAGGCCAAGTCGCGTTCGTCCCGCGCAGGCCTGCAGTTCCCGGTGGGGCGTGTGCACCGGCTGCTGCGCAAAGGCAACTACGCCGAGCGGGTGGGAGCCGGCGCGCCCGTGTACATGGCGGCCGTGCTGGAGTACCTGACCGCGGAGATCCTGGAGCTGGCGGGTAACGCCGCCCGAGACAACAAGAAGACGCGCATCATCCCTCGTCACCTCCAGCTGGCCATCCGAAATGACGAGGAGCTGAATAAGCTGCTGGGCAAAGTGACCATCGCCCAGGGCGGCGTTTTGCCCAACATCCAGGCCGTCTTGTTACCTAAGAAGACCGAAAGTCACAAGGCCAAAAGCAAATAAATGCTGACAAAGTAAACCAAAGACCAAAGGCTCTTTTTAGAGCCACCCAAGCTTTCAAAAGAAAGAGCTAATGCGCTATTTTGTGGTCAGCCCTCCATTTGATACTGTGTTGGCTCTTAAAAGAGCCGTTGGGGTGTGAGTGGGGCTAGTGGTGTCAAGCCTTAATTTGATCATTTGTTCTTTCCAGGCTTGTGACCCTCTGTTTTCTTGGGCAACAAGACAGCCTGGATATTTGGCAAGACGCCGCCCTGGGCAATGGTAACACCCCCAAGTAACTTGTTGAGTTCTTCGTCATTTCTCACAGCTAGTTGCAAATGGCGAGGGATGATGCGCGTCTTCTTGTTGTCTCGGGCGGCGTTACCCGCCAGCTCCAGGATCTCCGCGGTCAGGTACTCCAGCACGGCCGCCATGTACACGGGCGCGCCGGCTCCCACCCGCTCGGCGTAGTTGCCTTTGCGCAGCAGCCGGTGCACACGCCCCACCGGGAACTGCAGGCCTGCGCGGGACGAACGCGACTTGGCCTTGGCGCGAGCTTTGCCTCCCTGCTTTCCACGTCCTGACATCACGGTTTTTTAAATGCAGTTAGAGCCTATTTTACCATGAGAAGGATGTGGAAAGGATAACCAATTTGATGTAATTTATAAGAGCTACCGGGAGGGGGTGAAGGGAGGTAGTTTGATTGGCTAAGAGAGGGGCTCTATCAAACAGCCAGTAGGAAAGCCGAAAGCAGATTTCGTTCGCTTCGACACTACCAGGAAATGACGGATTTTGTAAATATCTACCAATTGCTGTGAACTACATTAAATTCCCTTATTTGCATGCCAGGACTTTTAAAAAGACAAGATTTTTTTTTCCCCCCCAAATAAAGCAGGGTTTTCTTTGCCTTTTTTTTTTTTTTTTTTTTTTTTTAGTGGCATTTTTTCCACTTTAGGGTGGTAGTTTTTGGCAGGGTTTGTTTTATTTGGGGTTTTCTTGTGTGTGTTTTGTTTTTTACAGTTTAGAGCTGGAAGGGAAATCCCAAGAAAAACCCAAAAGGACTGCGGAGGGTCTCCAGCAGATGCATTTACTCCCACTCAAGAATACGGGATTATGAAGCCGATGATCTCTTTGAGCCCTAAATTACCTTCAAAATTCTGCCGTTTCTGTCTCATCACTGCCAAACTCCCCTAAGGAACATATACTAAGGCGGCTTCCTTTCTCTCTTCAATTTAGTCACTGCCAGCGGTGTGGCTTTGCCCCACCCCCACCCGCCTCCGCTCGGCGGAATACAGAGTGACAGGGCTAGGACAGATTGGTCTTCCTCTCTTGACCTCCCGGAGACGTCCGATACCACCTTGAAACTTGTTCCCTTGGCTTTCAAAATGTCCTCCGGATTTCCTTTTGCTCCTGTTCCTCTGCCCATCCCTAAATCCGAGTGTGCATCCAGGCTCTGCCTCCCTCCCCACCCCTTCCATTGTTCACTCTTTCCAAAGAATCTTAACCACTTCCATGCTTTCAACTAACAAATTTATACCAAACTGCTCACTGGATATTTCAACCCATTTGTTCCAAACGATGCCCGCCCTCTTCTCTTTGTTCTGAATTGTACCCTCTTTCCCGTACCTAAGCCAGAAGCTACTCCTCTGTGCATCTCAACAGCATATCCAGTTACTTCCTTAACATCTCTTCAGCCTTTTCCTCCCCAATACTCTTGAATGTTGCATCATCCTCTTAGATCAGCAGCAGACCCTGCAGATTATTTTGCAGATTCCTAATCCTCCTTTTTATAAAAAATATGCCTTTTATAAAAAATCTGTCCTGAAAGTTCTGTTTCTTCCTCTTCAGCTTCCCATCTCTGGGAGTTCTACATCCTGCACACCGTTTTCATCCTTTCCTGAGTATCCCATCAGGACGTGAGGAAGAATGCTATAGAGAAAAGAACAGACAAATTCTATTCCTTGAGCCCTTTTCTGATGTTCTATTTTATCTTCACATTTATTCAACCAACATTTATAGAGTACATGCTACTATCAGGTTATGTGTATACAGAATACAGACTAGTACAAAAAAGTCTGTAATGAGATGCCTCTAGGAAATGGAAGAATTCTGAACTCTGTAAATTAAATAAGTTAACATCAGCTATCTGTAGAGATTACTTCTGCTAAGAAAGCTGGTATAGATTTGTGAAACACCCAAATCCAATCAAATGTGATGGGAGTGTTTCCTCAATAACAGAATGTAACTGAAGATAATTCTAACCCAATTGATTACATCATTTCAGATGATGTGTGTGTTAACAGAAAGATTTGGTCCAGCCTGGTGTGGTTTCCAGCTCAATCCCTAGTTGGGGGTGTGCAGGAGGCAATCTATGTTTCTCTCTCATCAATGTTCTATCTCTCTCTCCCTCTCCTTGAAATCAATAAAAACATTTTTTTTTAATTTTCACCCACGAATATTTTTCCATTTATTCTCAGACAGAGTGGGAGGGAGAGAGAGAGAGAAACATCAATGTGAGAGAAACACATTGATTGGTTGCCTCCTGCACGACCCTGACCAGGACTGGGGACCGAACCACAACCAAGGTATGTGCCCTTGACCAGAATCAAACCTGCAACTCTTTGGTCTGAGGGCTGACATCCTAACCGCTGAGCAAAACTGGCTAGGGCAATAAAAAAAAAAAAATGTGGCCCATATAGAGTCAAAACAGGGCAATTACAGTAGAAATGTGTTGTGTTTCTCCAACACTGAGTATATGTCTGCTAGACACAAAGGTTTGAGCTGTTATAGAAGGGTCCCTCATTGTGAAAACATCAGCCTTTTCTCACAGCCTGGGTGAAATATTTCTGAACACTATCCAACTCTCTTTGCTCAAATTCTGTGCTCAATTAACTTTCTTTTTTTTCTTTTTTTAGATAGAGTGGGAGGGAGAAAGAGCGAGAGAGAAACATCAACGTGAAAGGGACACATCAAGTGGCTGCCTCCCGCATGACCCAACTAGGGCCGGGACAAACTGCAACCGAGATACATGCCCTTAGCAGGAACCAAACCCCGGTCTCTCTGGACCACAGGATGACGCTCTAACCGCTGAGCCAAACCAGCCAGGGCTTAACTTTCTGATTAGTCTATTTCAAGATAAAAATATGCGGCTGAGAAGGAGAGAGCCAGTTACAGGATGATACTTCTATCTCTAGAAGTTAATAATTTTGCATTCTGGACTACTCAGAAATTTCTTGTGTATTTTGTTAGTGTGAGTCTCTCTACAAGAAGCCAACCAACTTAAGTTCTGATAGTATCAAATTTTCAGACCTACAGAGTCTGAACCCAGATAGTGGGGACCACCCCCCATATACACACACAACTCTGGCACCTAGAAAGGCCCTGTTTGAGAGACCAGCTGACTTCCCCCTCTCTGAACTCTGAGGTATTTTTTTGCTTCTATCACAGTGACCCTGTACTAATAGGGAAAAAGGAAAAGAGATAATACTGAACTCTTTTTTTTTTTAATCCTCACCCGAGGACATTTTTACATTCATCTTCAGATAAAACGGGAGGGGGAGAGAGAGAGAAACATCGATGTGAGAGAGACACATCGAGTGGCTACCACCCACACAACCCCAACTGGGGCCGGGAACAAACTGCAACCAAGGTACGTGCCCTTAGCGGGAACCAAACCCAGGACTCTGGTCCGCAGGCCGACGCTCTAACCACTGAGCAAACTGGCCAGGGCCTGAACTCTTATTATGTGAAAAATCCCATGCTGGGGGCTACCTAGGAAGTAGTTATAATTGTTTCACAAATAAGGAGTTAAAGGACTTGCCATAAGTCACACAGCCACTTACTAAGACATGATTAGAATCCAGGTCTTCCTGAGTCGAAGACCATGCTCTTTACCACTTCATTCACACTACTTCACTAACTAAACTACTTAGCCTACCCAGCATTGCTTTCTTCCTCAGAGAGAGAGAGATAATTAGGTAATATGTCAGATTCCATCCAGCTACAAAACTGTATTAGATACGTCTAGATAGGCCAATATCCTTCAAATTATCCCAGGCTCAATCACTATCTATTGCTCCTCACAGGTCCTTTCCCAACACCCTTACAAGAGCTATTTAAAAATAAAATAGCCCTGCTCGGTGTGGCTCAGTGATCAGAGCATCAAGCCTTGCACCGAAGGGTCTCAAGTTCAATTCCCAGTCAAGGGCACATACCTGGGTTGCGGGTTTGATCCCTGGCCTGGTCAGGGCACGTGCAAGAGGCAATTAATGGATGTGTCTCTCTCACATCGATGTCCCTATCTATCTATCTATCTATCTATCTATCTATCTATCTATCATCTATCTCTATCTCTATCTCTCCCTTTCCCTCCCTCCCTTCCACTCTCTCTAAAAACCAATGGGGAAAAAATAAATATCCTCAGGTGAGGATTACCAAAAAAAATATTTTTTAAAATAAAACAGAGCAGATCATTTATAAAAGTAGTACACCATCACAGACAAGCAGGCTGGATCTTATTTCCTTAACACCTATGGTATTTTTAATAAGTTCCCTCCCAAGCAATCTAATTAATCAAGCATTTATTTTGCACTCTAGCTCTATCCCACCATTCAACCATGGTCCTCTCCCTTCCCCTTCCCTCCACCTCTCTCCAACCCACCCTAGTCTCCTCCATACTGAGCTGTTCACCATTCAGGAGATGAGCGAGGCCTTTCTACCACCCTTGTACATACAGTTGCCTCTGGCTAGAATGCTTCATCTTCCTCTTGACCTGCAAAATCCTCCTCATCTTACCAGTTTCAGCCCAAGTATCACCTCTTCCTTCATGAGGCCTTCCCTACTCTCATATACACAGCCTCGGTGTACCCACATCTCTTTGTTCACATCTTGCTGATAACACCACTCTGTACTGTGCTTTGACCTTGGTCTCATTTTCTTTCTATGACCATCTCAAGAGAGAAACCATGTCTTCATCTTTGAGTCAGGAGTCCTTAATTCCCTCTACCTGGCTCTTAATTGGGTAGTTAAATGTTTCTGGCATGACCAAATGAAACAATACTCTTAGAGAATTAGTGTCATCATTTCTAAAATAGTTCTCTTTAGTCAACAACTATACTCCAAATGCCAACTATAAATAATAGACTATGTTGGTTGGAGTGATGGAAGATATAATAGGAGCTTGTCAATTAAATAAAAATAATATAGACTTGTTAGAATAAACGAGAATACGTGTAAAGAACCTAGTGCAGAGCCTAGAACCTGAGAGGCCCAGTGCTGGATTAGGAGGCAGACCAGCTTAATGGTTAAGAGCCCAAATTCTAGAGCCTGACTCTCTGGGTTTAGAACAGTACCTAGGCACCAACAAAGCAGGGGCATCCTAAAAATTATTTGAATGAATTTGTAATTTCAAAAATAAACATTGTATTTATCCTATGACCCAGCAACTCCACCCTGGATATACCCCAAACAGAAATGAATGTTTCTTTTTTTTTTTAATCCTCACCCGAGGACATTTTTCCATTTTTTACTCAGATAGAGCGGGAAGGAGAGAGAGGAAGAGAGAGAAACATCGACGTGAAAGGGACACATCGAGTGGCCGCCATCCACACGACCCAACCAGGGCCAGGGACAAACTGCAGCCAAGGTACATGCCCTCAGCGGGAATCGAACCCGGGTCTCTGTGGACTGCAGGCTGACGCTCTAACCGCTGAGCCAAACTGGCCAGGGCAGAAATGAATGTTTGCATCCAACAAAAAAAAATGTACAAGAATGTTGTATTTGCATAATAACTGCAATACTATACAACAATGAAAATGAACAAATTGCTGCCACACACATGGATGACTCTAACAGACAATGCTAAGCAAAAAAAGACAACACTATGAATTCATACTATGTGATTCTATTTATGAAGTTCAAAAACAGACAAAATTCATCTATGGTGAGAAAGGTTAGAATAACAATTACTATGACAGGATGGTACTGACTTTCTGAATCCTTCCAAGGTGCTGGAAATTTTCTGTATCTTGTATATGTATATTCATGTATAAAATTAAGCTGTATAGTTAAGATTTATAAATTTCTCATATGAAAAGTATGTCAATAAGCACAAATTAATTTTTTCTAATGAACAAATATTGAACTAATCATGGTGGAAGAGGATGAGTATTTTATTGGGCATCCCAGTCTTCATGTTACAGATTAGTGTTGTGGACGAAAAGGGGCCACATACTAAATGTGACAAGCTCAAGAGGAGGCCTGCGTGGCGGCCTGACAAACACAGAGACCTAAAATAACCACAAAGGATGGTCTGAAACTAAAATTTTTTAACTAAAAGCAGATATTAAGACTGATATCTTCCCTGACAAAGGTCAACTTTCACCTTAATTGAGCCTACAGTACTGTCTTTTTGCCTCCATAACATACCTTTGGAATGTCAGGGTAACCTTCCTTTTTCCAGACCCCTCAGGGCAGAGACCACAAATCCCCATTGTTATTATTATCATGTTAATTATTGACTGTCCCCGTACCCACCTAAGTAAAAGAAACGTGTGTATCATCTTACTTTTTTTTTTCTTTATTGATTTTAGAGAGAGAGGAAGGGAGAGGGAGAGATCGAAACATCAATGAGAGAGAACATCAATTGGCCGCCTCTTGCATGCACCCCACTGGAGATCTGGCCCACAACCTGGGCATGTGCCCTGATCAGGAATCGAACCAGCGACCTCTTAAGTGTTTGGGTCAATGCTCAACCACTGAACCACACAGGCCAGGCTCATCTTACTTTTTATCTAATCTCAGAGCCCCACCCCACCCCACCCCTTTGCTTTCTCTCACCTTCCTAATCTATCACCAATGAATTTCATGTAACCCATTTATGTCTCCTCTTTTTATTGTAATGTATAAAATAAGATGCAAACTGCCATTCTCTGCAGCATTATCTCACGCCACTGAGGTTTTGCCTCCCGGCGACTGTGGACCGTTTTGGCTCAAACTCACAAAATTTTTCACAGGTTTGAATGTTTCTTACGTTGACAGGGTTTACTGTTGTGTATTTTGTTTTCATTATACATGAGGTGACCACCACAATCCCGAGGTGCTTAAAGCCTCTAAAAGTCTTAATCTGGCCATGACAAACCTTCACAAAATAGTAGGTGTTAGGATTTAACAAGGCAATATAATTTTTTATGGCCATTTTGGAAGCTTCCCACCACTGGAAAACAATGACCAGGAAGACTTGTCAGACAAAAATGCCGGGCACCAGCAATCAAACCATATAAGGAACTAAAACTGCCAAAGAAGCACCTGATCCCACATCAGCATTCTGGTTGACCCAACCCCACTGCCCAAGCCCACCAACGAAGACCCCAAAACCCACTGATGACAAAAGCTTCCCGCCAGTGGCTGCATATAAGGAGATATTCCAGCTCCTAAGGGCTGCCATCATTGACCCAATACTCCTTGGTTCAGTGTTGTGCAGCCCTTCCCTTTGGATATGCCCAACACCCCATCCCCTTCTCTTTAAATAAATCCAGTTTTTCTTTATTCACCATCTGGGATTGCTATTTAGCCTGCCCACGCACCACCAACTTTAACCTTTCAGTAGTTACTATTCTGACTATGTTTTTATTAGAAACAAAGACTATAGGTGGCCCTATAGAGCTTGTCCCTTGCAAAGCTTTATTTGTGCAACAGGAATAATAATGATGTCAGCCCTTTCTACTCATACATTAGTTCACACATCCACTCAATACATTTTATTGAACACTCAAGTATGCCACATCTAGAATGTAGTGGATACATTCCCTCTGCCTAGATTTCTCTTTCCACAGGGTTAGTTCCCTCTAGTCATTCATTTTTCTCTGTGCCTCTAAGTCTGGGTGACGTGCCACCTTGGCATTCTGTTCTACGTCTCATTATTGCACTTTGCAACTGTCTGCTCACTTGTCCATCTTCTCCAGTGTTCTATAAACTCCTTGAGAACAGGGTCTGTTTCATTCCCCAACCTACCAAACTGGTCTGGCGCACAATATTTGTGTGTTCAATAAATGGAACAGAGCTCTATTTTCTTGTATGTACAATAAAGGAGTTGGGCTACATAATTGGCAATAAAACGTACCGAATAATTCCAATCCCAATTGCGCAGGGATTGCCGGGTTTTTGTTTCTTTTTGTGTGCTTTTGGGCTGAGGGGGGGGGGGGGAGTTGCATTCTTCTGCTGCAGAAACTTCGAAGACCTCGATTTAGAAGACTCAGAGACTACAATCCCCGTGAGCCCTCGGGGCATCACGTAGCACCTGCCTGGTCTCGTATCAGGTAGAGAGGACTCCATTTCCCAGCGTGCCTCAGCGAGGACGCGAGCACTACACTCCGCCTAGAACTTCAGGAGTCGCGTCCCTGAACCGAAACTGCTGCGACCAAGGCTGAGCCGAAGGTAGAAAGGCCCCAGGCTAGGGTTCCGAGGGAACACTGGCCCAACCGAAAGCATGGAGTTGCACATACCTGCCTTTGCAACCTCCGCCCCAATCCTTATTAATTCTCTTATTAACGAACGTGTCTTGCGCGCCGGCCTTCTCTAATCCTCTCGCTGCTGGCGGCCGCCAAATTCCCCGACGTCACACAGAGGCAAGGGGCGGGGTCTCGGGGTCTGGCTTCTGAGCCCGCTTTCCTGCCGCTGCAGACTGGACGTTGGCCGGTGTGGGTAGGAGGGTGGAGGGATGTGGCTCTCACCAGGCGGGAACCCCGACCCTCACTGCTCTGGCCCTTGTTTCTATGGTAGCGGATGCTGAGTGGACAGCTGGTCAGGCGCCTGTTCTCCATGGCCAGTCGCGTCTGTCTGGCCCGGGGCAGCCCGGGATCCGGTACCATAGGTCCCGTCGAAGCCACCATTCGCACGAAGTTGGAGCAGGCCCTGAACCCCGAAGTGCTGGAACTGCGTAACGAGAGCGGCGGCCACGCGGTCCCAGCAGGCAGCGAGACACACTTCCGCGTGGCGGTGGTGAGCTCTCGCTTCGAGGGACTGAGCCCCCTGCAGCGGCACCGGCTGGTCCACGCTGCGCTGGCTGAGGAGCTAGCAGGGCCGGTCCACGCGCTGGCCATACAGGCGCGGACCCCTGCCCAGTGGAGGGAGAACCCTCAACTGGACGTGAGCCCCCCCTGCCTGGGTGGGAGCAAGAAAACTCGAGGAACCCCCTGAACCCCAAGAGAGTGAGAACCAGGATCCAGATGGGTTGGGTGAGAGTAAACTACTGGGCTTTCTTCCCTTCAGTACAGTCCAATATTTGTAAGAGATGAGGACCGCTGGACCCCCGTTCAACTGGCACATACATTATTCACTGGAGTTAGTAATTCATTTAAGATCAAAGCTAACCCAAGAGTAGAATCACTCATTACTGCTTTTGCCCTGGACTATTCTGGAAAAGCTGCCCAGTCGTTTCATGTTAAATTGTGACTAAGGAACCACCAGATCTGATGTGTTGGAAATAATCCTGTACATTAAAAGAGAAATTATCATATGAGGTATGTTTCTGTGTTATATTAATGGCATGTTGAATCAGTGCTACAGATATTCTTGAGAGATGTTTGGAGCCTAGGGTAGTTAGGGAGGGTTTCATGGGGGAAGTGACTTAGTTGGATCTTTAAAGGAAAGCACAGAAAGGAAAGAAAAGGTGTTACAGGCCAGGGAAGAGCCCCCTAAAGGCATAGAAATTAAACTGGACAGTGACTGATGACAAGACAAGTTGCAGACACATTTGAGTTTCATACTGGGGGAATGTGTCTTTCTAACAGCTTGTCCATTTCTTTTTTTAATATTTTTTCTTTATTGATTTTAGAGAGAGAGAAAGGGAAAAGGAGAGACAGAAACATCAATGAGAGAACATCCATTGGCCGCCTCCTGCATACCCCCCCCCCCCCCCGCCCTCCCATCGGGCTCACATCCCAGGCATGTGCCCTGGCTGGGAATCGAACTGGAGACCTCTTGGTGTATGGGTCCACACTCAACCACTGAGCCACACCAGCGGGGCCAGCTTGTACATTTCTAAGAGGATTTGCATTTGTAAGACAAATCCTTGGGGTGTAGGGACACTAAAGCAGTGAATCTATGATAACTTAGAAAATGAGTGTAGAGGTGTTGGCAGCCATGTTGGTGCTGATGGATCTGCCGTGGCCTACAGTCTGGGGAGTTCTCCAGAACGGTTGGGAGCGACTGCAGCAGAAGCTTCAGAAGAACCAGCCAGGCTTTCCCAGCCCTCTGTGGGATCCAGCATTAGTGGTCCAAGGTCCAGCTATATTTACAGAATCAGCAAATGATACTAATGGAAGGAGATTTCTAGCCTTTTGGATAGTATCTTTTGGATGACAGTGCTCAAAAACAGACACAGCATTGAAGTTAACTGGTGTAGAAGAAATCCTCAGATGCTTATTAGAGTTAAGAACAACATAGACGTTTGTCCTGAATGTGGTCACCTGAAACTGGAATACGTTCTTTGTGGCTATTGCTGTAAGAACGTGTGCAAGGAGGCTGCAGAAATCAGAAGACAGATAGGGAAACAAGAAAGGGGCCCTTTTAAGGCTCCTACTGCAGGGACTGGTGCTGTACATGGGAGAAACACCATCTCAACAAGATCAGGGCAGGGCAAGAGGATCATTGAACCAGACAGGAAGCAACCATCTTGGTTCACCCAGAATTGATACCAGAGATGTTTAAAGATGGTAACTTAAACATTTCTCCTGGAATAAAGGAAGATTGTTTTTAATGTTTTGCGTCTGTTTTAAAATCATCAATATAGCTTAAAACTTTCTTCATAAGCAGTTTTGTGTGGGTAATTTGAAGACTATATCAGCATAAAGTCTGTAAATGTTTTTTTTTTTTAAAGGAAGAAAATGAGTATGGAAATGGAGAGAACTTTAGCCCTTTTTCCTGAGTCTTTTGAGTATTGTCATACATTTTTTTTAGTACGTTTTACTGAAATTTTTTAGAGAAGAGAAACATCGGTGAGAGAAACATTGATTGGCTGCCTCTTGCACACCCGCTACTGGAGATCAAGCCCACAACCTGGGCATGTGCCCTAACTGGAAGTCAAACCGGTGACCTCTGGGTACATGGAAGGACGCTCAACCAACTGAGCCACACCAACCAGGGCATTAAGTCATATTTCTCAGGAGTGCTCAAGATGAGCAAAATTCGCCGTGGCCAGTGTCTTCAGTGGTTAGTGTCAACTTCTCACCAAAGGGTCGCAGGTTTGATTCCCAGTCAAGGACAAATCCTACCTAGGTTACAGGTTGGATCCTGGCCCTGGTCAAGGTGCATGTATCAGGCAACCAATTTATGTGTCTCACACTGATGTTTCTTTCTCCCTCCCTTCCACTCTAAAAATAAATGGAAAAAATATCCTCGGGTAAGATTAACAAAAAAGAATAATAATAAGCAAATTTCTGTTGATCTCAATGTGAAAATAGAACTTAGATACCAAAGGAAAAGTTTGATTTACATGTATCTTGACCATTTATGGCTAAAGAGTTTAGACTGTATCTGGTTGGGCAGTAGGGAGTCATTGAAGAGTTTTGAGGAAGAGCATGCCAAAGATCATGTGGGCAGATTGATCTGGCAGTGATGTGTTTAATTGGGTTGGCATAGGAAATTGAAATCAGAGATTAACCAAGTCTGAAAGTGGAACACTGACTTAGAAATCAGCTGTGGAATAGAAAGGAAGGAGCTGATTTGAGAGCTACCATTAAAAGTTAGATAATGGCTTAATTAGAACAGAAATCAATTAGAGTGAGAGGGGAGTTGAGGGTAACCCCCAGGCAGTGGTTTTCAGATTTCCTCACAGATAAGAATTGCCAAGGGAACTTGTTTAAAATGTTGATTCTAGGTACCTTCTCTTCCTAAAATAGGATTCTGATTCCACAAGAATGGAATATGGACTCTATATCTTTAAAAGACAAGAGGATTTGGAGAAAATTGGCTCTATTCTCAAGAACATTACTCCCAAGTTTTTATTTTTAAATATCTTAACATTTATTTTTGTAAATTTCCATTTATTGTGATAAAACACTTAAAATGAGATGCCTTCCTAACAAATTTTTAACTGTCCCATACATTATCATTGACTGTAGGTACAATGTCATACAGCAGATCTCTGGAGCTTATTTATCATGCTTAACTGAAACTTTATGCCTGTTGATTAGTAACTCCCATTTCCTTCCCCCAGCCTCTGGCAACCACCATTGCATTCTTTGATTATATGAATTTGACTATTTTAGATAACACTTAAGTATCATCATGCAGTATTTGTCTTTCTGTGGCTGGGTTACTTGACATAATATCCTTGTGGTTCATCTATGTTACATGTTGCAACATTTCCATTTATTTATTTATTTATTTATTTATTTATTTATTTATTTATTTATTTGTAGGGGCCATGCTAATCTCTGTATCGTTCCAATTTTAGTATGTGCTGCTGAAGGGAACACATTTCCCTTTTTTTTTTTTTTATCCTCACCCGAGGACACTCTTGCCATTTATCTTCAGATAGAGCAGGAGGGAGAGGTAGGGGGAGAGAGAGAAACATCGATGTGAGAGACACATCGACTGGTTGCCACCCACACAACCCAACCAGGGCCGGAGGGCAAACTGCAACCGAGGTACGCGCCCTTAGCAGGAACCGAACCCGGGTCTCTCTGGGCCGCAGGCTGACACTCTAACTGCTGAGCCAAACCAGCCAGGGCACATTTCCCTTTTTTTAAAAGGCTGAATAGTATTTCATTATATGTATATAACACATTTTCTTTATTCATTTATCTGTCTGTGGACACTTAGGTTGTTTTCTACATCTTATTGTGAATTATGCTCCAGGTTCCCAATTTCAGTTCTTTTGGTTAAGTACCCAGAAGTGGGATTGCGAGATTATGTGGTAGTTTTATATTTAATTTTTTAGGAACCTCTATATTCTTTTCTGTAGCAGCTGCACCATTTTGCATCCCCACCAAAAATGTGCAAGGATTCCAATTTCTCCACATCCTTGCCAATACTTTTTGTCTTTGGGGGGCTTTTTGGTAAGAGCCATCTGATAGGTGTGAGGTGATATCTCGAGGTTTTGATTTGCATTTCCCTGATGATTAGTTACATTGAACATCTTTTCATATACCTGTTGACCATTTGTATGTCTTCTTTGAAGAAATATTTGTTCAAGTCCTTAGCCCATTTTTAAAATCAGGTTATTAATTTTTTTTTGCCATTGATTTGTAGAACATTACCTCGAGTCTTCAAATCTGGGAGACTGAGAGGGCCCTCCATCTGTAGAAATGGAAAGGTCAGAATAGGCTGATTGAGGATACCTTAAAGTAATGCCTTATAACCCTGGTCGGTTTGGCTAAATGGTTAGAGCGTCGGCCTGCGGTCCAGAGAGACCCAGGTTCAGTTCCCGCTAAGGGCATGTACCTTGGTTGCAGTTTGTCCCCATTGTCCCCAGCCCTGGTTGGTTGTGCGGGTGGCAGCCACTCAGTGTGTCCCTTTCACGTCGATGTTTCTCTCTCTCTCTTCCTCCCCCTCCCCCATCTGAACATAAATTGGAAAAATGTCCTCGGGTGTGGATAAAAACAAATTTTTTAATTTAAAAAAAGTAATACCTTATGTTATTCTGGCTTTTAGTTTGGAGGGAGAGGAGTTGTTTTCCATCTCACCATCTTCCCTTCCAGCAGGCAGAACAGAGTCAAAGAAGCAGACATAGCCATTTTGGATTTTAAGGATTGGTTGTTTTCTTTTTATTTTTCATCAATATTTTTCATCTCATTTTTCACATCAAACATAGTTGGGTTTAGGGTTCCCCAGGAGAACAAGGGAGGTGAATGGGTCCCTCCAGGGGGTGCAGGAGAGAGGGCTGCATCCAGCAAGTGAAGGGTGAAGAAAGGGCACACACTCGCACGGCACTGGAGGAGAAGGCAGTCCTTTGAGCACAGACACCAAAGAGTTAAACAGTCACCACCTGGTTCAGTGTTGCAAAATGGGGGGAGTGACCATAGAGGGTGGGGGCACCAGATGCAGCATGAGGAGGGTGAATTTGGATTTTCTTTTTTTGTTGCTTTCACTTTTTCCTTTTAACTTAACATTTTACAAACAGCTAAAAACTACAATACATCACAGCTACAGTGGTAGGGAAGGGGGCACCAAAGAAAGCAGCCACGTGTAGTAGGACGAGGCAGGGGCAGCTTAAACTACAGGGGCTATTGTGTGGAAAGGGTGAGATGGGGAAACTGAGGCTCTGGTCCCTGTATTAGGGGTCCCTGTCTTACTACCCAACCGCTTTCCACTTTAGAGGAGTTACTGGGAGGGCCCCTGCTTCCTGCCCGTGCCCCAGCTCCTTGTGCTTTTGATCTGCTGGTTTGACCATATGCCTGGTTTCTTTCCCTTCCCTGCTCCCCTGCTTGTGAGGGGACAGGTTGGGGGTGGGAGGGCAGCTGTGCTGTTCCAGTCTGTGCTATAGTGGGTGGAGCCTCCCA